GATCCAAGTAAAAAAGTTTAACTCTGCTTTCACTTTTCAGTTTGATTTCTGCTTCTCTGGTACTCTGATAACAAGATAAATAAAAATGATATTTAACAAAATGCTTTTTAACAGAGCTACATTTGAAAGTTATCCCATCCCAAAGATCGGGGATATTAGACACCTCTGCCCTACCCCTAAGAGACAGCTGCATTTCAACAAACAGGAATATACCACGGGCTATGCAGCATATAAAGAAATGGTGTGTGGAAGGGACCAAGTTCACATGTGATCCTTGCCCTTCTGGGATTGACAGCCAATTGTGAGTCAAAAACAATCCGAAGAAAGCAAAAGAGAATAATTAGACTTCAAAACTGTTAAGAACGCCTTCATAAAGTACTGGAATGTAGGACAGGTTTTGAACAAAGGGGCAGAACTTAGCCAGAAGGAAACACAAACCTCCTTGGTTAATTGGAAAGGATACATGGACAGACACTGAGGCAGAAATGAGCCCAGATGGTATGAAGGACTGAATAGGGTCAAGACCGGGGGTACAAGAAGAGAAAGAGAAAGCAATACATTTTAAATGGGAGGGAAAAAGAACCAGGATAGATCTTGAAGGACAGTAAGATGCTGATTCATCCAATGAATATTAAATGAGCACCTACAATGTGTCAGGCAATGGCACATGAATGAAAAAAGTTACTAACCCCAAGGAACACCAGTTGGAGAGGAGCTGGATACTCAAGTAGTAAGAATGGCAAAGCGTAAGGAATAGTGGGAGCTCACCTGACTAAGGGGTAGCAATTGGGAAAGACTTCCCAGAGGAAAGCCTCTCTTGAAGGACAAGCACTTTTGGCCATGATTAGGTCGATGGATACAACTGAATGGTAGGGTGTGGAGGGGAAAACAAGAAATGAGTCTGGGATTTATACGCTAAGGATCAGTGATTTCATTCAGAATTCAAAACATTCTAACAGTTTAAGCAACAATAAAATAAAATAATGACTTCTGCATTTTAGAAACATCCCTTGGGGATGAAGCAAAGGATTAAATAGGATATGACTAGGAGGCCCATTGTACCTTTCATGGGTTGAACAACAGTCTCCCAGGCTCACAGCAAGGCGCACAACAAATCCCACATTTCTGTCTTGATTAATCTGATCAATGATGGTTCCATTAACGACGATAGATAATTCAGGTAAAGAGCAAACTTCAGGGAAGGATGATACACAAGGTGGAGTGTGAGGCTGCCTGTAGGATTTCCAACTGAAAACATCCAGGAGATGGCTAAAGGTATGGGACTTGAGAACTATGTGGAGAGGAAAGCTAGAGACAGGGACTCGGAAACCTTCAGAGTGCAGGAGGGAAGAGAAGTCTTGGGAGTGGATGAGATTTTCTGAGGAGAGTGTGAAGGTGAATCTGAGGACAGAAGACCAGGGGCTCCAAAAATGAAGAGATGGAGAGAGGAGAAACCACTGAAGGAGACATATGGCAGCAGGCAGGGAGGGTGGAGATGTGGGTCATAGGAAAAAAAGAGGTTTCTAAGACATCCAAACAATAGAAGTCATCTCTGACCTCATTATTTATCACATCTGGTCCCTCTACATACATATCCTATTCTTCTTGGCAATCAGAGCACTGTTACTCCCAATCTCCATAGTTAAGTTTATGGAGTCAGAACAGAATGTCCTGCATCATCTGTTACTTTCCTCAAGAATATGTCACATCTCAACACTTGAAAATGGGGCAGTAACAGTCATGGTGGAGAAGGTGTTTTGTCTTCTCTGTTGGTGGCTGAGTAAGGTCTACTACCACATCTCTAATCAAGACTAATGAGAAATTAAGCATCCTCTTG